TTTTTTTTTTTTTTAAAGATTTTATTTATTTATTTGAGAGAGAGAGTGAGAGAAAGAGAGCACACGAGAGGGGGCAGGGTCAAAGGGAGAAGCAGATTCCCTGCTGAGCAGGGAACCCGATGCGGGACTCGATCCTGGGACTCCAGGATCATGACCTGAGCCAAAGGCAGCCACTTAACCAACTGAGCCACCCAGGCGCCCCCAGTATTAGGTTATCTTATGGGGCATTTGGAGAATTAACTGGGTACTTCTTCATAAATGGCCAGGTTCTGCAGGTAAACTCATTTTCTTGTTACCACAAGTTGTAAGTGTAGAAGCTCCCTTATTTAATGAACATGGGTTTTCTTCCTGCATTCAGATCTCTTAAATAATGCAGTGTTGTTGTTGAGAAGGAGGGCTCTGGGGCCATTGCCTGGGTTCAAGTCCCTGCTTGGTCACAGTCCAGCTGTGGGACCTGCACAGTCTCTCATCTGTCAAATGGGGTTAATAGCCACACCTGCTTCTGGGGCTGCTGTGGGGCCTGAATGAGCCATTGAAGAACTTAGAAGAGTTTCTCACAGAGTGAGCAACAATAAATGCTTGGTATTGTTACTACTGTGATATCATGTTTACAAAAACCTCTCCTTTTCCCCTGAGTTATGCTAATACAACGAGGCATACCTCGGATACCAGAATTTCCTTTTGTATTACATGTTTGGCTGTTTCATCTCCTTCCCTCCCTCCCTCCCTCCCTTCATTCCTTCGTTCCTTCCTTCCTTCCTTTCCCCTTCTCCCTACTTTCCTAGATCCTCAGGACTGTGTCAGGGATTCATTTTGCTTCTCTCTCGTAGGTTGCACCCTGCTGTTCTATGAGACCTATGGGAAGAATTCCATGGATCAGAGCAGTGCCCCTCGGTGTGCACTGTTTGCAGAAGACAGCATAGTGCAGTCTGTCCCAGAACATCCCAAGAAGGAAAACGTGTTCTGCCTCAGCAACTCCTTTGGAGATGTCTACCTTTTCCAGGTACTGCCGAGCTTTCTAGACAGAGAGTCAAGGCAGTACGAGGGACTCCAATCCCAAGGACTGAGTGTACTAGGAGGCCGAGAAGGAACAGAATGAAGAGGCACAGCTTAGCATTGAAAAAGGGTAAAAGCTGAGGTAGGCTTTGGTTGAGGCTTAAGCAAGAGAATTGGCCTCTGCTCACGGTCAGGTGCCATGGGGCCCGTGTTCATCCAGTCATTCATACAGCAAGCATTTCTTTGGACGCCCTTCAAGTGCCAAGCTGTGGCCCATGGGATGGTCTTGAGGATATGAAGAGAGAAAAATCGTGATCCTCATTCTGGTGTAGCTCATGATCTAGTGGTGCAAGGTCTGAAATCCCTGGAGTGGAGGCTTTCAAGTGAAGCCTACAGAATATGACTAGGAAAGCTTTAGATTTTTCCCAAGAATCCCAGTAGAAATGAAAAAAGAAGCTTTTCAGGAAAGCCTTATAGACAAATGCTGTAAGGTCTCGTTTTGCAGTGGAAGTGGACTGAGGATGTTAAATTTCAAGTTATCTGCTGTTATGATTTTCAGCAGTTTTCTAGCAAATGCAAAGTTGAAGAGCATGGTGGGATGCCAAGCTGTTGGTGTCAGCCTTAGGTGTGACATCCTGGTGCTGTCGTTGGGCATGTACGCCATCTTGGAGGACTTAACTGCTCTGAGCGTTGGATCCTTCAGCCAGCAGGATAACAATAGCTTATAGGATTGCTTTAAGGATCAGTAATGTGCATGTGTTAAGTGTTAAAGAAGTTCCAACTATTTCTATAGTTAAGTGCTATTTCTATGTGTTAAGTGCTAAAGGAATTCTATTTCTAACTATAACTATTGGTGCTGTTATTGATTAACTCAAAAGAGGTGGAAGTGAAGGAAGTGAAGTATGTTTCTGAAGTGCTTCCCAGTCTAAATCGGGTGCTGCGTATAGACCCAGTTTGGGCTGCAGAGTATATCTGACCAGAAAGGTTCATGGAAGCCCTCATAGGTCCTTGGTTCAGGTGTCTCGATGACATTGGTCCTGGATACTCTCAGAAGCCCTACAGAACAGCTTGGTGTTCTCTCTTCGGACTTTGGGAATCTAGAATTCTCTGCATAGGATTTCCTGTTGCTAGTACCAGGTAAACTTGTTGGGCCTCTAGCCTTATTGTTGTCCCCAACTTGACTTACAAGATTCAGGGCCTGAGATTTGATTTACCTTCTCTTCACAGAAAGGTTGATTAGACTTTCTCTGATGCTTTAAAGCCAAGTAATGAATTGCTGTTAATCTCAATTGTAGGGAAGATAAGAACATTAGATGAAATCTGCATGGACTGGGGCGCCTGGGTGGCTCAGTCGGTTAAGCGGCTGCCTTCAGCTCAGGTCATGATCTCGGAGTCTTGGGATTGGAGTCCTGCGTCCGGCTCTCTGCTCAGCAGGGAACCTGCTTCTCCCTCTCCCTCTGCCACTCCCCCTGCTTGTGCTCTCTGACTCCCTCAAATAAAATCTTTTTTAAAAAAAAATTAAAAATCCGGGCGCCTGGGTGGCTCAGTTGGTTAAGCAACTGCCTTCGGCTCAGGTCATGATCCTGGAGTCCCGGGATCGAGTCCCACATTGGGGGCTCCCTGCTCGGCGGGGAGTCTGCTTCTCCCTCTGACCCTCTTCCCTCTCGTGCTCTCTATCTCTCATTCTCTCTCTCTCAAATAAATAAATAAAAACTTAAAAAAAAAAATTAAAAATCTGCATGGACTTCTCAGGGGCAAGTGTGAAACGAGTATTTTGTGATTCAGGCAAAATATCCTTAATTCTTTTTTTTTTTTTATTTATTTATTTGACAGAGAGAGACAGCGAGAGAGGGAACACAAGCAGGGGGAGTGGGGGAGGGAGAAGCAGGCTTCCGGCAGAGCAGGGAGCCCGATGCGGGGCTTGATCCCAGGACCCGGAGATCGTGACCTGAGCCGAAGGCAGACGCTTAACGACTGAGCCACCCAGGCGCCCCAAAATATCCTTAATTCTAAGAAATTTTCCCAGTAGGTCCTATTGTATGATCCCAGAGATCATTGGAGGATCAACCCATAGCTTGAATGTGTGTGGTTTTTCTGGACATCAAGGGAGTGGAATAATGATAATTTGCTAAGAATCATAATTGCCCATTGTGCTTTATTCAAACTTACTTTATTTTTAAGATACTTTTCTTATGTGAAAATTGCATATAGTCCTTGTGTCTGAAGTTAACTGAAGAGCAGAGAAAAACCCTTATGTATATTCCCAGTGCTTAAAGACAACTATTTTAATGTTGTGTACATCCCCCCAAATGCTTTCATTGATTTCATAATTGAGTTCATACTGTCGATGAAATTTCATATCCAGGTTTCAGAGTTTAACTTTTTAAGCCCTATATTTTTCTCACCCTATTAAAATTATGAAGATAAGCACCTTTTAGAGCACAGCGTCGTGTGAAGACACCGAGCTAAGTGACCATACCCTGGTGTTTGGATTACTCCTCTGCGCTTGGCTCATGGCTTGTTTGTAGTTTGTCGTCCTGTCCTATTTGGAGCTACATGATTATTTCTGCTGTGCTCTGGGCATTGTCTCAGCCCCTCCGGAGTCAAGGAAGCCTGTGAACCTGAGCTGAGTGGTTGTGTGTGTTTTTGAAATTAAACAGTTTTTATGAGGTGAAGGTACTTCTTGAGTTTTACACATCAAAAGCCCAGCCTCCCACTCTGTACAGTACTTTGTGGTAAAACAATTCCAAATAGGTGTTTTTCCGCCCCCCCACCCTCCATGTTTAGGCCACTAGCCAGACAGATCTGGAAAATTGGGTCACTGCTATCCATTCAGCTTGCGCATCCCTTTTTGCAAAGAAGCATGGGAAAGAGGACACGGTTCGGCTCCTGAAGAACCAGACCAAAAACCTCGTTCAGAAGATAGATATGGACAGCAAGATGAAAAAGATGGCAGAGTTACAGCTGTCCATCGTGAGCGACCCGAAGAATAGGAAGGCCATAGAAAACCAGGTACTACTTATTTGTGTGTTTTCTTTCATTGCTCATGTCACTCGCAGCAAAAATCTGAGTTTGAATGCAAATGGCGGCCATGTTTCTTGCACCCATCTCAGGGAGATCATTTCTGTGGCTTCTTGTTTCAAGAACCTGATGGCAGCACTTTTGTGACATCGATGATGTGATAGACTTTATTTATAACCTTTGGTTGTTTTATATATCCAAAGGAATATTTGGTGACCAAGTCGTTTTTCGTAATATTGATTAGTTCCTTCTTGCTGGCTGATTCTCTCCTATATTGTCCCTTTCAGACCAAAATTTTTATTATAAAACCACTAGATAATTAGGATTCTAATACAGAGGGTGGCTTTGGGAAGTATGGTTTGGTGTGAAACAACTATTCACATCTGTGGATTCCAAAAAAAAATGGTATATATTTTTTTCTGTTTATAACAGGTAAGGTGCTAAGGAGAATGCTTTCTCTGGTCTAGTTCCACATTCATATCAGAATTAAATAGCTAGTTTCTGTGCTTTTGCATTTTGGAGGAGGAGACGCAGCTTTTAAATATCCGTTTTCCTTTGCTCATGGACCCTAAGCCCTGAGGCACGTGGCCGTGAAAGTTCTAGCATCTCTCTTCCTAAATGCAGGATGAACGTCGTCTCTTTAGAAGATTAATTAGGCAGTGGCTTGGAGGACAGGTGGACACAGGGAGAGCCATTGCTGGTGGGATGGCATTGGTCTGGATGTGGGGTTACCAGGGCCTGGTGCAGAGGGACACTACCCAAGTTTCACAATTTATACGGAAAACGTATTTCAGAGTATATAATTTCTGTCATTCTGTAGAATCTCCGAGTATTCTACACTCCTGAATTGAACTGTTCTCAAACAGAATGTGCCCTTTATCTAAAGAGGGTACCTGCTAGCAAACTACGAACTACCAATTAACAAGGACCTGAGAAAGGAGTTGCCAGGCAGAAGGTGGGGAGGTGGCAGGTGTTGGGGAGCTTGGCAGGAACACCACTATGGAGGAAGTGCAGCCCCCAGGAGCTCACCCTGCGTCCTCTCTGCCATCCCCCTGCTCCTGACCGAGCAGCCTCCCCTGCTCATGTTGGGGAAGAGCTAGGTGCCGAGGTCGGTCCCCGTCACCCAGCTTTCGGTCTGTGTGGCGTGGAGAGATGTGATGCTATGTCAAGTTTACCTAGCAAACCGGAAAGCTTACGGAGGAGAAATGGTTGTCCCAGTTTCCCGTGTACCGCGGCTCATGTGTGGTCCTGAATTTCTAGGATCCTGGAGCCGCGACAGTCCGTCTGTCCTCAGAGGCTGAAACTCGTGGATTCACGTGTCTCAGTGTTCAGGGTGCTCCAATAAAACAATCTCGGGCTGATCATATGGGAGGAAATGTAGTTTTAACTTCTGTTGGCGCTCTGATATTTACCTTTGAAGCCATACTTTTCGTCCTCTGAACGGATGTCCACCTTGGAGTCTTTTGGTCCTTATTAGTTCCAGGGAGAGAAAAGGGAAATCAGGCAACGTTCAGAGGCTCCTAGCCTGCCCTCCCACCTCTACCCCCTTTGGTTCCCTTTTCCTTCGTATGGCAACAGGAAGTTCAAGCAGACTTTAAAAAACATGTTTTCATTAAATGTAATTTGATTCCATTCAATGCAGTTTCATTAAGTGTGTTTTATAGTTGACAAGTGATTGATTAATGATGTCTGTGGGAGGGGAGTTCCTTTCACATAAACTGAACACACATCCAAGGGTCTCTGATGGTTGGGTGGCCTGAATAAGGAACAGTTGGGGTTGATCTTTAGAAATTCCACCTGAAAATATTCTCCTCACCATATTGGCAGGTTTTTTTTTTTTAATGATTTTATTTATTTGAGAGACACAGAGAACGAGCAGTGGGGAGGGGCAGAAGGAGAGAGAGAGAGAGAGAGAGAGAGAGAGAGGCAGACTCCCTATTGAGCAGGAAGCCTGACACGGGGCTCGGTCCCAGGACCCGGGGATCATGACCTGAGCCGAAGGCAGACGATGCTTAACCGACTGAGCCCCCCAGGCGCCCCCATATCGGCAGTTCTTAGGGTTGTCTTTGAGTCCTGTTTTCCCAGAGGTCTTTGTGGTGGGTGCCACGAATTATATTTGCTGTGCTCAGTATCCTTCGCTGATCTGCCCGCTGGTTGTGAAGAGGGCTATTATCTCCCGACTTGCAGGCGCAGAGAGTATGAAACGTAAAGGGGATAAAAAAGACGCTTAGATTTACTTTTAGGAGATGATCTTTGACTAGAGAATGTTAGGTGAAGGTACAAAGGCAAAGGTACTTTCAAATCAAGACCAGTAAGAACACAGTCTCCCAAATATCCCATAACTGTAGAGTTTTCTCTAAACTACCTTTCAAAAACTTCGTTAAAAGAGCAGTAGTGCTTTCTCCGCTTGCCACTTAAAACTCGCAACGTCACCCTATTTTATTTTACATAAAAGAAAATATTTATGTAGCACTTTCCCCCCAGAGACCCCAAGAACCGCAGATAGAGTCATTTATAGCCTAGTAAGAGCAGAACTTACAGAGTACATTACATCATGTGCGATAAAGTCTCTGGAACAGATTTTCTTTGAAGTGCTTGGGTGGAGAAGATCATCGTATGCCCCCTTTCCAAATAAAAAGATAAAACGACACTCGGCTAATAATAACGGCCGAGCTTCATAGCGCGGCACGGTACCATGCTCTGCTTGAAAGAGACTGTCCCATGGGCTTGTCCCAGGGCCTTTTGGAGATTCTGGGGGGCGGGCAGGGTGACGCAGTTTTCATTTGAGCACATCCAATGTGGAGCAGACCGTGCGGCCAACCACATGTTGGATTCCTTTTGAAGTTCTGAGGGAGGAAGGGCTGTAAATTAAGTCCAGTTAGTACTTTATTTTCCTTCCCGTTTATTATTTTAACAAGTAAACAGGGACAAAACCCCACCGCTCTTCGGTGGTCTGCCCCCGCCCCCCCGATGGCTTCCCTGCATCCTGATGCGTTCTGTGTGTTCTTCACCCCCCCTCCCCCACCCCACGGTGGTTCACGAGGCCTGGGTGGAGGGAGGCGGTCAGAATGGGGCAGAGGATATGGTGGTAGCAGCAGGCTGGGGCCGTGGGCTCGGGGCTGCTTGGGGCTTTGTGAAATGTGGGCTTCATTTTAAATATTTAAAGTTTCAAACTGGTAAAGAGGGTGGATTGAATCTAGGCAATTGGACACTGTGGTGGGGGGCAGGGGAACAAAGTGAACGAAGCCTTGAGGAAAATACGATATGGAGTGTGAGTGTGGGAAGCCATTTGGGGAATAAAACAGTGGAGAGAGGGCGGTGTTGGTGAAAGGGGTCTGAGGCGATGAGGCCGGGCGTTCCGTTTAGCTCAGTGAACATTTAGTAAGTGCCTGTCTGGGCCAGGCAAGTGTGCACACACTGGGAATTCAAAGATGCTGTTTTGCCCTCAGGGCTCTCAGTCTAGCAGGGTGTCAGTCAGTGAAGCGTATCATTGCAACATAATTTAGTGAATCCAGAGTAAATGATATTCCAGAGTGTTGTGGAAGACAAAACGGGAAGTTTGGCCTCCTGTGTAGTCATGGAAGACTTCCTGTAGGAGGGCTGCCTGGATGGCTTCTTGAAGAGTGAGGAGTGAATCAGGAGAGGAATGGAGAAGGGAATGCCAGGCCAGAGGTCCGTGGGAGCGAAGGCAGCATGAAACACCGCGGTGCCGCCTGGCAGCTTGATTCTTCAGGCACACGGTGTGTGGGTGAGAGAGGGAGGACACGTCGGGCTGTCTTCTCCCTTCCCTGGACCGCTGCAGACGCTGTCCGTTTTCCCCTTCCTCAGATGCGTCTTCCATACGAAGTCAGAGTGTATGCATCTATAAAGCAGATCTGATCCTGTGATTGCCCGGTTTAAAAATCCTTTAAGTGGCTTCTACTGCTTGTAAGATAAAAGCCCCTGACGCTCTCCTACCTTTATCCAGCAGTGCCAAATTTCCCTCGGGTTCCATTCCTTTCTTTGGGTTTTTTCTTCAGGCTGAGAAGTCCCACGTAGGCCACACATCATGTACAGACACGCTGGGTACCCCCTGGCCTTCACTGGGCTCATCCCTCCTCATCCTTGATGAAGGGTTTAGGGTTACTTCCTCCAAGGAGCTGACCTTGACGTCCCTCCTGCCCACTCCTGCAGGGACCTCTTTATACCCCCTAATTCTTGGGGTCTCTATCACTGCCCTCAGCTCATTGTTTTCTCATTATCCGCTTGTGTCTGAGGCTGCTCCTGTTCTAAAATACGAGCTCCTAAAGGATCTGTAACTTTTCCATTTCTGTATCCCCGGTGTTTTGCCCGAAGTAGTGTGGGAGGTCGTGTGTCTTCCACCCTCTTTGCTGTGGCACACTGGGCTCTCCTCTGTGTGGGCTCACCCCAGCTCAGTGCCAGCTCTGGGCTTGCTTCCTTCAGCCTTCCCTTTTTCATTCCCAGCTAACATATCCTCTCTTTGGCCTCACTCCCCACCCTCATGGCCCCTGAGCTTATTTATCAGGGCTCCTATGTCAGGCCACAGTCATGTGTGGTTTCACAGTAGCCGCGTGAGGTAAAGTTGTGTGTATCACTCATTTGATGGGGAGTGACTAGACCCTGAGAGAGCTTAAATAAGTTTCCTAATGTCACACAGCTGGCAAGTGGTAGAGCTAGGGTTTGACCGTAAACGAGCATTCCTAACCACTGGGCGGTATCGCCTCTCAGTAATGAATCAGATTGTGGTTTGCTTGCTGATTAATCATGTGATGAATGGTTTTGTATAAAATTGAAATCTATATGTTTTATTTTTAAGTCATCTCTGCGCCCAACATGGGGCTCAAACTCACAACCCCCCGAGATCAAGAGTCGTATGCCCTACTGACTGAGCCAGCCAGGTACCTCAAAATTAGTTTTTTTTTTTTTTTAAAGATTTATTTATTTGAGAGAGAGAGTGCGCAGTGGGAAGGGGCAGAGGGAGAGGGGGAGAG